TAGGGAAATGCCTTGATCCATAAAAGTTTGGACTTGGAAAGTGACATTTAGATCTATTGAAACCAAAGCCTATATACCTTTAGTGATGAAACTAGTGAAGGAGATGCTTGTTATTTCTTTTATACTAGCTCCATTCAAGCTCCCAATCTTCATCCATGGACTCCAAAGCTTGAAACAAATTCAAAAATGATGGAATACAAGGAGTGAAGAAACTTGTTATCTTCTTGACAAGTGTGCCAAATCATATACAAGTAATTCAATGATAAGTATGAATATCGTCTCCTAAGGAACTTATGAAATACTTGGCACAAATCAAGGTCTCAATTCAAGAAAAATTGGATAAATGCTTCAAATTGTACCACAAAATTAATGAATTTATAGCACTTAGCAATGGTGCATTGCTTCAAGGTGAAGATGAGTAAGAGAGGAAGAACTTACCATAAGGAGTAACTCCTTGATAAAGTTCATAAGGAGAAATTTTCTCCAAAGGGAGAACTAGAACTTTTGAGAGAGAAATTTGAATTTTATTTCTTCAAATGCTTAAAAGTGATGCATACATGAATGGAGAAAGGTATATATAGAGTTTGGTAGCTTGTGGTATAAGTTAAGTTAACCAAGGTTACATGTAACCTATGTTAGGTTAACTTGTACTAAAGATTACTAACTCTAGTTACAATTTGAAATTTGAATTTCCCTCCTTAAAATATCACTATTCTAGATATAGAAGAGCCACTAAAAATTTGTCATGTTACAATATACAATAATTATATATGACTCATATCAACATCCACTTGGACCTCGTGCCCAATGAGGTGTCCATAAATCATTCAAGTCCAATAAGTCCATATATTAATTTCAAATTACACCCCCCTAAAACACTATATACACCCCTAAAAATAAAAATTATAAGGAAATAAATTCTTACACTACTTAACACAAAAGTAAAAGGTCAAAAATAAGAAAATATTTATAACAAAAAATATACACAAAGAATAAATGAACTAAGTAATTAACCTATAACTCAAAAAAAGCTTAGACATTCTACTTTCATCATGAGTCCATTCCTCTTACATCCTCCTTAACATTGCCCTTGTAATAGGACATTTGGAAGACAATATTTCATCATCCAGCATGCCTATGGGCCTTCTCAATCTCAAAAAGTGATAGTTTTAGAAAAAGTTGTATGAGTTTCAAAGATGAACACAAGAGAAGGTTTGCAATGCAAAATAATTTTCTGCATATGTTGGTGACTTCTTTTACTAGCAAACCCTTTGATATTCCAAGCAAGAATAGAAAAATCTTTGTATTGTATCATCATAACAAGGTTTAAAAAGTGTTGACCTTCCTAATAAAAAAGTCAACCTATGTATGGTGGTGTCTCAACAACCATATCCATATCATCTCCATTAGAAGAGTCTCCCATGTCATTCTCCAAATTGCCCTCCATACCACCATTCTCATCATTGGCACCAATTGCATCATCAGGTGGCTTAGGTTCATGCACCCAACACAGTTTGTTAGGGCCAATAATTTACACATCAATGGTTGAGCGAATACCATGCATCTTTTTGGTGCGTAAAAGAGAGCAAAACAAATGGCAGACAAAGGTTGTGAATCAATGATTGAGAAAATGATGTTGGGTGCATGAACCTGAGCCACCTGCTGCTACTGATCCTTTGCACACTCCATGGGAACGTTGTAATGCCTTAATCATGTCTTGGCTCCTTAACTCTCTATCTCCATCTATTGCACAAAGTGTCATCTATTTTGAAAGTGCTGCTGCTATTTGGACTGATCTTAAAGATCGCTTTTCTCAGAGTGATCTTCTCCGTATTGTAGAACTCCAAGAAGAAATATATGGCATAAAGCAAGGTTCCCGTCCTGTATCTAAATACTACACATCTCTCAAATCTCTCTGGGAGGAGCTTGATAATTATCGCCCCTTCCCAGATTGCCAGTGTTCTTCCAAGACATATCATCAACAGAACTTTATTATCCGGTTTCTCAAAGGATTGGAGGACCGCTTTTCTATTGTTCGTTCCCAAATCCTTCTTATGGACCCTTTGCCGCCAATATCCTGTGTTTTCTCTATGGTTGTGCAACAGGAGCGTCAACACTTGCTTCCCAATGGAGAGGAAGAACCAAATGCCTTCATTAACACCAGATTCACCTTTTCCGGCAAGGGACGCAGTGGTAAAGTTCCTCCCGGAGGTCCTACAAGAAACAACACACGCAATGCTTCCAACAAGAAGTGCGTGTACTGCCACCGTACCGGCCACAATGTTGAAACGTGCTATGGCAAGCATGGGTACCCACCGTGTCATCCACGATATCTGGGTCGTCCTCATTTTAATCCATGTGATGGCACCGCCTCTGCCAACAGTGCGGCTCAAGAGACCAGTAACAATGAATACAACACTTCTGTTGTTGAAGGATCCTCCTCCAATGGTCCAGATTTCACTTGACTCAGGCCCAATATCAAACCTTAATCAACCTCCTCTAGTCACAACCTTCTGATACTGATGGTACAACCTCTGTCCAGCCCTCACGGGACAACATCACCCAAGTGTCTTCACCAACAGGCCCAATACATGTTTCTAACTCTAAGCTTGGTATTTCGTCATATAGTCATCATTTTTTATCCAATATACACACTGTCCCTATCACACACTCACAAAATAATATTCCTTGGATTATTGATTCTGGGGCAACTGATCATATTACCTCCTCTTTAGATTCCTTTTTTAATTATTCTAAAATCAAACCTGTCCAAATCAATTTACCCAATGGTGCTGTTGTTTTTCCACATTTTTCGGGCTCTGTTCAATTCTCCCCAAATTTTATAATTCATAATGTCCTTTTTGTTCCCAATTTTAACTTTAATTTTCTCTCTATTTCTAAACTTATTCTTTCTCAAAATTATTTTCTCACCTTTTCTAATGTCCATTGTTATATACAGGAAATAGGGTCATTGAAGACGATTGGTTTGGGTAAATTGAAACAAGGCCTTTATCAGTTGGACATCAACAAGCATGCGAGTTTGACATCACCTAAAGCCTCCTTCATCAGTAATTTCACGACCCCTCCTATCAACAACACCAATCTTTGGCATTTTAGGCTAGGACACCTTTCTGGAAAACGTCTCAATATTTTACACATGAATTTTCCTTTTATTTATAAGCATGTTGATGATGATTGTGATATTTGCCATTTAGCTAAACAAAAACGTTTGTCATATTCCCCAAGTATTAATAGATCTTGCAATTTGTTTGATTTAATTCATATGGATATTTGGGGACCTTTTTCTGCACCTCTTTTCATGGTCATAAATATTTCTTAACTATCGTTGATGATTTTAGTCGTTTTACATGGGTTGTCTTATTAAAATCAAAGGGGGAAGTCCAAAAACATATTCGAAATTTTATTGCCTTAATTGAAAATCAATTTCATACCACTATTAAGTGTATTCGTTCTGATAATGGGCTTGAATTTTTTCAAAGAGATTATTTTTCATCAAAGGGCATTTTACATCAAACAAGTTGTGTTTATACCCCCCAACAAAATGGACGCGTCGAGAGAAAACATCAACACATTCTCAATGTGGCTAGGGCCCTCATGTTTCAATCTAACCTTCCTAAACATTTTTGGTCATATGCTATTAAACATGCAGTTTTTCTAATAAATCGTGTTCCCTCACCTATTATTAAAAATAAAACCCCTTTTGAATTATTGTATAAAGAACCTCCTAATTTTTCTATGATTAAAATTTTTGGTTGTCTTTGCTATGCATCAACAAATCCTACTCGCCAAAAATTTTATGCCCGCTCTAAACGTGGAATTTTTTTGGGCTTCCAAACAAGAACCAAAGGCTATGTCATTTTTGACATCAACAGCAAAGAAATTTTTGTATTACGTAATGTCACATTCAATGAGATGTTTTTTCCTTTTTCACCATCCTGTCCAGCTTCACAATCCACTACCAATACACCACCTGACCATGACACCAGCCCAATTCATATTCACACCTTCCCAGAACATGAAATAGACTATTCCCACCACCCTCCCTTTGAGTCACCCACTCATCAAGAGCCATTCGACTCCGTGGACCCCACTATTAGTCCTAGTTTACCTTCTCCATCACATACCAGCAGCTCAGTCAATTCATGGTAGCACCAACTCAGACTCATTTTCAAGTTGCCTTGAGGGTGATTCGCTATCTGAAAGGATGTCCTGGAAAAGGTTTATTTTTCAGTCGCCCACTAGTAGAAAATAAGCATATTACGTCACCCCTTTTACGTCGGAAATACGAAAATCCGACGTAAAAAAAACGCGGTGACATTTTTGTAATTTTTGCGAACTTTTTTACGTCGCACCTGGTAGGGTATGACATAAAAAAGACGCAAATTTGAATAAGAGAGCGCGAGGCATACCACGCGCATTCACTTTTCATCACTTTTCATTTTTTTCTCTGTAAACCCTCTCCCTCTCCTCTGTTACTAAATCGTTTTTTTGTTTTTTGCAGAGGGATGAACTCTTTGTTACTCATTTGCACATTGTTGCTGCTCCTCAGGTATGAAACAAGGTTTCGTTAGCACTTTTCTACTTAGCATTGCTACTCTGGTTATCTATTTTATTCAATTTTTTGGTTGTTCTATTTGTATAGGTAGTGGGCATTTTTTTTTTGTTGTTCTACGAAGCAGAATGGCTTGTTCTGCAAGCAGAACGACCTGTTCTGCAAGCAGCACGGCCTATTCTGCAAGCAGAACGGGCCGTTCTGCCTGCGTTCTTATGTTTTTTTTTGTTGTTTTTTTACTACTTTTTTATGTCGGATTTCGTAATGTCCGACGTAAATTTACGTCGGGTTTGCAGGTCCGACGTAAAATTTACGTCTCCCGCTTCTACGTCGGTACGTTTTCTAACGTAAAAAGCCTAAAATATCCGGCGTAGTACACCTCTTTTGTACTAGTGGCCAGTCCTCAACACAACTTCTTGGATTCAGTGATGCTGACTGGGCTACATGTGTTGATACACAACGTTCAATCACTGGTTATTGTTTTTTTATTGACAACTCTTTAGTGTCCTGGAAAGCCAAGAAGCAATTTATAGTTTCTCGATCTTCTGCAGAAGCAGAGTACATGGCACTTGCCTCTGCCACTTGTGAGCTTCAATGGCTCTCTTTCCTCCTTAGTGATTTGAGAATTCCTATTACTAAGCGTTTTGTCCTCTATTGTGATAGCCAAAGTGCATTATATATTGCAGCCAACCCAGTCTTTCATGAAAGAACGAAGCATTTAGAGATTGATTGTCACATCGTTCGTGAAAAATTACTCGCTGGTCTCATGCACCTCTTACCAGTTTCATCATCACATGAGTTAGCAGATATTTTCACTAAAGCGCTCCCTCCCCGGTTGTTTCACTCCAATTTATCCAAGCTGGAGCTTCTTGACATCTTCAAACCTCCCGCTTGTGAGGGGCTAAAAGAGGAAGGACGAAAGGATCCACAACAGCTCAATCAAACCAGTAATTCCAGCCCAATTGAATAGAAATACATAAGCCCATATTGTACAGTTTTTTTTACTTTTTCCTGATACAGCTGTATATTCTGTTAGGTAGTACATTCTGTATTGTATTTAGGTGTTCCAACACCTCACCCTCTGCTGCAATTTTCTGTTATTCTTTTTTGTCCCTTCATAGGCAATAGGTTATATATAAATATACTGCTTTGCTTTCATGAATATACAAGAAAAGAGAAGAAACCATTTTATCAATCATTGATTCACAACCTTTGTCTGCCATTTGTTTTGCTCTCTTTTAGTGCGTCCCTTCATGTGCATGTGTATGTAACCCTACCTCTCTGCCTTCACTAGATGTTGAATTATATTCCTTCAAACTTAGAGCTTGGTTTTTCCATGCAGGTGAGATCACGATTTCCATGTATGGGTCAACAACAATTGTCATGTGTTCTAATTCTAACATATCCCCACGAGATCTCTTATTCTTCTTCCATATATTTTTTTGTGCCACAATCATGCTAGGGTCTACATGCACCCCACGCTGTCTCTTGGCCCCTCCTCTTTCTTCTTTATATCTTTCATTATCCAACAAAATAAAAGGATTTTTACTCAAACTTTTATTACGTGTGTGGATCAAACACTCCCTTGAATCCCCCTACAGTCACCTCTCCTTTAAAATTGTTTTATGTGTCTGCTTACCCGTTTTAACCACTAACAAATCTCCATAGCACAAAATCCTTGATTCTCTCTTAATCCTTGTAATGAACCAAAATTAGCCTTATTCTTGCACTTATTATTTTAGTAGTCGTATGACCATACAAACCACATCCTTTATAGATCAAAATGTAGTCCTTCATACTCTGTATTGAACTCGTGATCATAAAACCAAACCCTCCCTACCACAGGCTGGTCCAAAGTGATCCCGACAGACACCTTAAAAAATTTCCCTTTGGATATATTCGTTATCATCATATCCACTTTGATTGATTGACCAACTACTGAGGCAAGTGCCATCAACACATTCTTGTCAAAATATTCTATCCTTAGCTAGGCACGAGAAACATATCCATACAAGAGTATGACATATCTTCTCCTCTGAAACCATGAAGTTGGGAGACCAACCCCGCACTATCAGATAATGGTCAAAGATTAATCACGATCCTCCACTCAACACTTTCTCCCTATTGCATGCCATGTCAAACTTGACCATGTAGTATCCATGGCTAATGTCCACCACGTCCAAACCACTAGAAGGCTTCCATACTCTTTTTAGCTTGTCAAACATGACTTTTACTATTACTGCATTCTTCCAAGGACGTCATAAATTCCGTAAAACTTTATCCTCTATGTAACAATTAGGGCATAGTCTATTCCCTTTTCATATTCCACTCTAAAAAGCTTGTTTTCAATAAGATATTTCACCTCTACCTTCGTTGATTTTGGGGTTTGAGATCCCAACATCTTGTCTTGAAAAGAAAGATGAGTTGAACCTTCCTTTCTCTTGTTCGATGACTTAGGAGGTTGGACGACATGTATCAAACGACATTGTATGTTGAGAGAATTCGCATCTATCTTTATTAAATTACATAAAATGTATATATATTTGATTTTTTTCCCTTAAATTATATATTATTGATTTCTTTTATTATACTCGAATAAAATTAAATATTTTAAATTATTTTTTAGTAAATATTATTAAATATAATTTTATTTTATCATAATCAATTATTAAATAATATAATTTTTTTGCAATTGTTCCAAAGACACTACCAACCTTCTTATTTCTTTTATTTCATAAACAATAGAATATAAACTAAATTTAATTTATATACCTTAATATTGTTAAAACTTAAAGTTGTCACTTTTTTAAATTCTCATTATATATTTTTTAAATTATCATTTTCTAATTAATAATTTATTAGATAAAATATAATAAATATTTAAAATTCATTGAATAAAATTTCTCTTCCTTGTTAGTATTGAAAAAGATAAATAGATACATAAATATTATTCTCTTATAAGTATTAATTAATTAATTAATAAGATAAAAAATGATTAAGTGAATAAGAGAAAATTAATTTTAGAAAATAATTTAAATTTATATACAAATATAATGCTTTAACTAAATTAATTATTATTTTTTTAAAATATAATGCTTATAACAAAAAAAGTATCTAATTCTTTTTCAACAATATAATAGTATAAACAGTAATTTTTTGTCATATCTCAATCTTAAAATCATTGATTAATTACAATGATTTCACTTTTATTTATTTATTGATTTACTGATAACAATAATTCCCCGCTAGTGACTTATTGTTTTTTTTAAATCAAATAAAAGTTATGATAGTCTAATCGTGTAAAAAACATATTGGAAATATTTTAATAGGAAAGTGAAGTCCACTTAGGCTTTAGTAGTTTGGAACAACCTTGGCCACTCCTAATCTAAGCCCAGTAACCTTGTTCAGTTTCAGTTCTATTCAATTCTAGGTTTTCCTGTCACACTGCTTCTGTTCTTCAGTTTCCCTCTTCACTCTTCACTCTTCACTCTTCAATCTTCACTCTGTCTCCTCTGCGACTCCAATGGCCTCCAAGTTCGGTCTAGCCGGCGGCATTCCCGAGCGAAAGGTTCGTCCAATATGGGACGCCATTGATTCTCGCCAGTTCAAGAACGCTCTCAAGCATGTCACCACGCTCCTCTCTAAGCACCCTAATTCTCCCTACGCCCTCGTAACAACCCTAATTCTCGCACTTTTCACTTTTTTTTTAGAACGTCTTTGCCTTCGTATTCACGTCTTGGATACTGTTTTTTTTTTTTTTTTTTTTTTTTGGG